AAAAAAGTGCTCATCTAAAGATGACAGTGAACCAGGCTGTATGATAAAGTTGAGTTATATCAGAAAGGAGAGAACTGGGAGTTCAGAGCTGCAGCTAATAACCCTTCTTCTCTTAAAGCAACGAGGCTTTAAAGCCAAACCTTGGCCAGACTAAGTAGACAGTGCTTTCATAGCAGGAGCAAAAATTCTGATGATATTATTTTCAGGCATTCAATTCAAATTAAAAACAACACACACAAACATCTCCAAGGCCCAGTTTCTTATCTACCCTGAGATATACTCTGAAATTTACCTCTTGGCATACATGAAGAGACCAAAACTAACAAGGATCACTATCAAGTAAACATTGGTGGCTTCGTTCCAGGCTTCGTGAACAGTATAATCGATAGAACCATCATCATCCATCACTCCGTAACCTCCAGCCATGCAGCTGTGAGAGAGAGAAGAATGAACTGTTTTTAATTAGTGACTGTACCACCTGTTTTTGTATGGCTCATGGACCAAGGGAGGTTTTTACATTCTTCAAAGGGTACATTTTAATGGTTATATAAGTCTACATAATATCTTCAGTTTTGCCTCTTTGCCCAAGAAGCCTAAAATATTTTCAGTCTGGCCCTTTAAGAAAAAGTTTGCCGACCTCTGGTCTAGATAATCAAGGCATGTAATACAAGTCCATTTATTTTTCACTTTGAAACATTATATAGTTCCTACATAAGCGCTAAAACTCAGGATTAAAACATAATGTTCCTAAAAGGATACAGGCTGAAATGTTATTGCACAACATCCAAATTGTAACTATCGCCGAGATGAGAGCAATAGAAGACTTTAAAACACCGACCCAAACAACCGGCCATGATGCAAAGCGAACAGTGTTGCACCCGTGACAGCAGCCTTAAAAAGATGTGCTAGCCAGAACAATGCTCCTCCACTCCCCTCCTAACACGACTGGAAAACGTTCGGAGCTTTATGCAGCTCTGGCCTGCTGGCCAAGTTTGGTTGAAAGAAGCTATGAGAATAAAAAGTTACTTTTTGCTATTTACACAGCTGTGACTTCTATTCAAAGAGAAGCATTCTTTGGACATTCCCACAACAAGAGAGTGGCAATAGCCAAGTGTATCAAATAAGTTAAAAGTGTAATGATTTATTTGTCTTTGAAAAGTTAATTAAATTTTTCCTTACAGAGAAAAGTTTCTTTCTAGTGTTGGACATACAAGGTAAGTCTGAGAAAAATGACCTTGTATGTGAAAGAAATCCGGGAGTATTGTTTTAGACTCTATAAAAAGGAGAAAAACTAAGCAAATAATAGGAAATAACTGTACTGTAATTTCTAAGAATAAACAGTCATTTTCTAATACCAAGAAAAAATATCTGGAACGTCCAAGAAGTTGTTTTGCAATAAACAACTTTTTTTTTTTAGACTGCCTAAAGCAATAAAGGCATTGCAGAAATCTTCCCACTAAAATATTTTTCGATCTGTCCAGTAAGCCTCCAAAATGGATCATCAAAGTAGATTTGGCTCAGAAAGTTAATATGTTATTTATTAAGGGAAGAGTCTGTTTTCTTTCTTATAGCTTGCCTCTGTATAAAATGAATGAAATTTCTCCAGAAGTCTGCTCCTAAGCCAGGTGGCATGTTGTCCCCTTTCTGACATCTAAACTCTTTGTCAGATGTTTGGGGACATGCTGTACTCATTTAGAATAAAATGAATGGCTATTTAACTTAAACTCTTGACATTGAGGGTAAGAGCAATTCATCTAATTGGTGTCTGAGGAATATAAAGATCGGTCTTGTGAAAATGAGCCAGGGAATCATAAAAATAGCACTTTATAAAAATTTATAAAAGCAAGATCTAAATATTACTTAAATTTTAGACTATACCCAATTCCTAGATATTAAAGGCTGGCTATGGTTTTTTTTTTTGAAAGTAGGAAGCACAGGGGGATTTGCTTTATTCACGGTTTCAATTCTTATGCCTCAAAACTGAACTCTGAGTTTCTCTGAATGTAACATATATGGCTTGTAGTACGGAAACGGCCTACTTTAGAAATGGAAACTTTTGAAAGCCCAGAGACTATTTAACTGTCTTTATGATTTATGGAATCTAGTACGTTGTCAGTGCCAAATGTAAAGTAACAACAAGGATGGTGTTTGGCAAAGACAGATAGCTTTAGATGTTTGATCTGAGATGTTGCAGAAGGCCCTGGACAATTATTCAGCAAAGGTGGTAGATTTCAAGACTGGGAGTCATTCACAAACTGGGCAGTACATGGGAACAATACAACAATGGCCCCTAGAACATCTCGCAGGTGCCATTCATCTGACAAATGATGAAAATGTTTCCAAGCTGTTTATCACCTGAATGCATCTAAGCCAGGTTACTTTCTTGCTTCAGTTTTTCCCAAATTCTGTTCATGTGCCACTCAGTAAATGGTATATATGTACCCAGAGCTTGTCTTCCTCCTGCTACAAAGATGCCAGTCTTTAATTATATTTACAGAGGAATCTCTAATTACTGCCAACCCAGAAAGGTAAAATTTTAATGTGAATTACACAACATCACTGGTATGCAAGGACACTACTCTTGCACAGTTCCAGGGACATGCACTTGAGTTATTTTTAGTGGTGAAGTTGTGAAAGGTTTGCACTAAGGGTAGGCCTTGCCTAAGCAGTCCTCCATGAGGACCAATAGCATGAGTTTGTAAGACTGCCAGGAATAAGGAATGTTCTAGTTCATAGTACAGACCCAGGGCCCACATGTGACCTGGACTATGACCATCCCCTGCCAGTACACCATCATCTAACCAAATGTACACACATACACGCCAGTTGAGTGCTTCCTGCATACTACCACAGCCTTCTTCTTGAGTACTAAAGCAAAATGCCCAGGGGCATTACAGTGGTTCATTCCTGGCAAGTTAATGTTTCAGCAGGTTTACTGACACAGCTAGTCATGTGCTTGGAGTGTCACTGAAGGCTCTTTTGAGAAAACTGACCTTTTTCACATATTTTTTGTATAAAGTAATGCTTGAATTACAACTATTTCAGTAAGGAGGTGCTAGGATGAGCTGAATTAAGCCCCAAGTAAACATGGACTTCCAGAGATTAAGTTGCCAAAATATGGCAGCTAGAGCTTGCTTTTACATTAACTTTCAGGTTGATAACTAGGAGACTTTCTCTAGGGAGCAAGCGACTGTATCGTAAGTTTTAAAATTTGTTTCTTGATTTTGGGTTCCTGAAACCAGGTCTAAATGGTTCCAAAATTGAGCATCATGCCTTAATGATATCACTCTGTCTCTCACTTAGATCTTTGTTATTTTCTGTACAAATTCAGATTGTTGTTGTTGTTAGGTGCCCTCAAGTTGGTTCTGACTCATAGTGACCCTATGTACAACAGAACGAAACACTGCCCCGTCCTGTGCCATCCTCACAATCATTGCTATGTTTGAGCCCATTGCTGCAGCCACTGTTGTCAATCCATCTGTTGAGGGTCTTCCTCTTTTTCGCTGACCTCTTACTTTACCAAGCATGATGTCCTTCTTCAGGGACTGATCCTTCCTGATAACATGTCTAAAGTACATGCGACAAAGTCTCGCCATCTTCGCTTCTAAGGAGCATTCTGGTTGTACTTCTTCCAAGAGAGATTTGTTCATTCTTCTGGCAGTCCATGGTATATTCAATATTCTTGACTCACTTGCACACGGGGTCACCAACAGTTGACTAGCGGCAACTTTTAAAAAAAATAAACAGTTCCTATAGTTCCTTGGAGCCCTAGTGGCGCAGTGGTTAAGAGCCTGGCTGCTAACCAAAAGGTCGGCAGTTCAAATCCACTAGCAGCTCCTTGGAAACCCTATGGGGCAATTCTACTCTGTCCTATATGGTCCTAGGAGTCGGAATTGACTCCACAGCAATGAGTTTTTGTTTATTGGGTATATAACGGCTCAGTGGTTAAGAGTTCGACTACTAACCAAAAAGGTGATCAGTTTGAATCCACCAGCAGCTCTTTGGAAACCCTATGGGGCAGTTCTACTCTGTCCCATAGGATGCTATGAGTCGGAATCGACTCGAAGGCAATGGGCCTGGTTTGGTTTTTTTAATACTTCCTTATAACAAAGACCACTGCATAAATAAATGATTTTGCTTTTCTCAGCCCTCTGAAACACTAAAGGATTGGGTTCCTGAACAGAAACGTAAAAGCTAAAAGGCGTTCAACCAACAGGAAAAAGGCAATTAACATTTGAGGGCTATGTGCTGGTCAGTCCACATATTCATTTAATTTTCAAAAAACCACCCTGCTGGGAGGTATTAAAATTCCATTTATATAGGAGACACTGGGAGGAGGTGGGGGAGCAGGGAAAGGCTTAAACAACTTGCCCAAGGTCACACAGGGTAGGAAACAGAGGAGCTGGGTTGTCACACGTATCTGACTTACAAACCTGAACTCTTTTCACTATATAAGTGTTGCCTCTCCAGTTTTGACCCTAATCTTGTAAGACCTGCTCCTCCTGGGAAGAAATCAGCCCGAGCGGGTATAAAACATAATCCTCTCTCAGGAAGTGGCCACAGGCAGGCGCCTTCGGAGCCGCCTGGAGACCTTAAACATTTCCGCCACTCGACGGCTGCAAATGACTCAATCTTAACACACTCTTGCTAAAACCCAACCACCCCGGGGCCGTCTCGCCCCCAGCTTGCGTTGCAGATGGTGCTGTTTCAGCTGTCTTGTCTGCGTTTCTGGAACTAGGAGCCTATTTCATACGACCCTGAAAGGCTTCGAGCAAAGGGCGAACAGGTTAAAAGCGCCGCAAAGCCCAGAGCTAGGGGCGCAGAGAGCCGCTGGCGGGTCCGTCTCTGTCCTCCCCGGCAAGTCTGGGGGCGGGGCGGCAGCGGCGCGATCGGAGGCGGGGCCCGGGAGTGACGCGGCCCTGCCGGTGGCCAGGGAGGCGCGGGGACGCGGTGGCACTCACGCTGCTCGCTCCGGAGGCGGTACGCGGCCAGCGCTGCTCCGCTACGGGGCTCTTCCCCACCGCGTCCAGGCCGGGCGCGCGGGAACCGGTTACCGAGCGGACCCAGACGACCTCTGCCTTCGTCATTTCCTGCCGGCCCGTCGGTTTCCGGATGAAACGAGGAGCCAGGTGTTTTTTTTTTTTTTTCGTTTT